CGGAAATGTAGCCAGCAGCTCCAGGGAAGTGATTATTTCCCTCTGGTGCTTCTGAGACAGCATCTTGCATACTGTATTTGAATTTGGCCTCTCCAGTTTGAGAAAAAACAGGGACATACTGAAGTCAGTGGAGTGGAGGGCCACCAGGATGGTCGGGGGGGCTGGAGTCTGCGAGCTGGGTTTGATCAGCTTGGGTAAGAGAAAGCTCAGGAGAGGGGAAGATCTCACTGTAATCTTTAGCTGTATAATGGGTATGGTTTGTGTGGAGAAGATGGAGCCAGGTTCTTCTCTGAGCTGCTTCGGGAGAGGATGAGAGGCAATGGCAGACAGCAGCTGCAACAATCGAGGGGACTTCAGATACCGGGAGAAAAATGTTCACAATGGGGATGGTCAAGCACTGAAAGAAGCTGCCCAGAGAGACTGTAGAATATCTGTCCTTGGAGAAACTCAAAACTCAGCTAGATGGGACAACCAGCAGCTTTTTCTTGCTGATTCTACTGTGAATGGGAGGTTGGAGCCAGTATCTCTGGAGTTCCCCACCTACCCAACTCACTTCATGGTCTTATTCTATAACTCAAATAGGCATAAACAACTCCTGAGTTCAAAACAGCACACTAAACAGAATCATGAAATCAGGAGCTTTAAAAGTGAAAGGAATATCATATGGCAACAAATTTGTACTGCCCCCGACGTGAAATCATCCTATCATCAAAGGTTCCAAATGGAAAAGGAAAATGTGTGTATGCAGTCTCAGTTTGACTGTATCGATTTCAACTGTTTTCTAGCTTAATTCTCACAAAAGTTATACTGCTGCTGCAGTGTGTTAATTACTTCATTCTGCATTCTTCAAATCACTGGGAGCAACTTCTGCAATTTAGTACAGAGGCATGACTGAAAGCTTGTAAACACACAGTAGAACGAAGGGACAGTTTTGCTGTGTCATAAAAACAATTATGCACATTGCAGTTAAAGATTACATCTTGAAGTTGAAAGCTGGTAAATTACTCCCTCTGCTTTTAAGGAATTGTTCTTTTTTTTAATGCAGAAAATATTAACATTATTGATAAGTAATTTGCGGGAAATGTTTAACTGTGAGCACAGCACTTAAACTGTGCCAGCTGTGTGCTTAGTCTAACGTGCTTTTACAGGGAGTGGTGCAAAACTGTCTTGCTGTATGACCTACGGCAACACTGAGAGGCTTGAAGAAACTAAATATTCACATTGCAGCATAGTTTATTACCTTTTTAACTGCACTTACATGTAGTCAAAGGTAACTCAAGCAGTGAGCTTTTTTCTTGCTTGTTTACTTATGGGAGTTGGTAATGTCACTGTTTGCCACCTAGAAGCAATACACTTCAGGAACTGACCTCAAGATATTCCACAGGAAGAGGCCAAATCCTATTAAACAGTACATCTATGCTTCTCTTAGCTTAAGGCACAAGGTTTTATTGGGGCTTATAGATAAAGACTGTTGTAACTGCCAGTAATTCTGTTCTTACTATCATAGTTATATCAAAGCAGTAGGCATCATAAAAAAGGACATTATTTGGGAAAACAAATTTTCAGGGATTTCTCCCCTTTAGATAGGCAGGAGATGTTAAAAATTAAAATCAAAAAGAAAACGCTGACTTCAAAGACCAACATGGTTGGAAAAACAAGTTTTGGGAAAGCTTTACTTGATGCTGGTAGTCTCAGGAACTGTGTTGGTAGTGCAACAATGGTGAAATAAGTTTGTGGTTACTGGCACACAGAGAGAGTAATGTATTACATAAATCACAGATGGTTGAGCTAGCATGTTCCTAAAGGGCAATTTATCTGTGAAGGATTAGCAAATTCTAGTTTTAGTTGCTCCAGAATTAATTCAGCAGTTAAGCAATTGCACTTAGAAGTTCAGCCCCATTTTGGTCAGTCCTTGGTAGGATTAATTCTTAAATGCAAGTAATTTACTGGTAATATCTTGAGCACCAGAATAATGTCAGTGTTTCCTTGCCTGTTATAGTATTAACTCATGAGAATAGTGGAAGAGGTCAAGTTGCTTAGGTATCCAAACCCAAAATTGTCATGGCTGGTAGTGCTAATACTTGAAATCAGTATAATTTTAATAATGGTTTTTAAGGAGTTTGTGCAAGCCAAAAGCAGCAGTATTTGGGCCTATTTCAACAACATCAGAGATGTCAGAACTCCCAAGATTTATTTCAAGATTATTTTTTTTTTTAATTATTATTGGTTTTAGTCTCGTTTTCACCAGCATTGGAGAGAGAAGTGGGAGAAAGGTTGAATGCAAAGCCTAGTAAAAAGCTGCATCTTGTGTTGGCCCAGTGGTGTGCAGAGGCAGTGCTGGCAGGGGATTTACACGTGGTTCAGGTCACAGATGGCTACTGAAGCTTGGTCCTAGAAACCTGCCCACGGAGTGCTCTGCATACCCAGCAGGAAGCCTGGTATTTCTTTTTTGAACCCCAAATGGCAGCAGAGCTGTGGTATCAGGGGAACCCTGCACAACAATATTAGACCTTAATATTTTACATTACAAAAATACACAGCCATGTTTTGGAGAGTGATGCATGAGTGAAAGCAGCCAGCACAGTTGCCTATTGCTTCATTCGTTGTCACATGCTTGTTTACAACTGTAGGGTAATGGTGGCTTAAAATAAATGTCTTGTACCCCTGCTCAGTGTCACCACCTTCCTGCTATGATGTCTTGTTCTGGGATGGAGCAAGGCTGGCTGCCTGCCTGGCAGCTCAGCAGCTCTCTCATGCAGGCTGTGCTCTGGTCCCTTTGCTCATGGGTCCTCGGACAGTTGCTCTGTTTGCTGGGCTGTTTCTTGTCCTTTCCTGGGTGTCACTCCAGATGCCTTTGAAGTAGCTAGTTAGAAGGCCACTTTCACAGGGATTTGTTCCCTGTGGTAATATTGAGTTGGAATCAATGATCCTTGGTGGGTCTTTTCTAACTCATGATATTCATAGAATCACAGAATGGTTTGGGTTGGAAGGGACCTTAAAAATCATATAGTTACAACCCCCCTGCCATAGGCAGGGATACCTTCCACTAGACCAGGTTGCTCAAAGCCCCGTCCAAACTGGCCTTGAACGCTACCACGGATGGCTCTCTGGGCAACCTGTTCCAAAGTCTCACTATCCCACAGTAAAGAATTTCTTCCTAATGTTTAATCTAAATCTACTCTCTTTCAGCCTAAAGCCATTCCCTCTTGTCTTATCACTACATGCCCTTGTAAAAAGACCCTCTCCAGCTTTCGTGTACCTCCTTTAGGTATTGGAATTATATTCTATGATTCTAATATATATGTATAGTAAGCCTAGAATAAATGTTGCAGTGCTAAATCGGTGTGTACCTACATTTGTTTTTAATGTAAAGAGAAAAAGTTGATGCATGACAAAGTTCTTGTTCTCTGTATCATATTGCATCATTTGTGAGTAGAAAATGTATACTGTAGTCCCTCTTCAGTGCAAGACCTTTCCCATGAGAGTGTTTTCCTGGTTAACGATGCATACCACGGACAACCATGCTTTTTATGAAGTGTACTGCAGTTTCTTGTTAGGAAACAGCAGCTACATGTTAGGCATTGCATTTCCCCTTTTGAATACTCCTCTTTTCCCTTCTTCCCAGACTCGTCTTCTTCTGTGGATGCTCAGTGCCTGTCTCCTGCTGAGTCACTGCCTTGCTGCCTGGCTCTGTGTGGGGGTGAGGCCCTTGGAGGCTGCTCAGGCCCCCTGTCAGGAGGGCTGTATAGTATTACAAAATCTCATTTGCCATTACGTTATGCTTGGAGTAAATCGATGTGTTACTTTAGCCTTTCACCTCCCAATGTGTACATGTCGGGAAGGAGGAGGAGGGGCAGCAAAACCCCAGATAGGTCAAAACTAAATTCATGTGGTGACTTCATCTGAATCCAGTTGGATCTCAGCCCTGCTGAAACTCCCAAGCCTGCCCACAGAGTTTTCTGGACTTAAAAGGCGGAAATGGCAGGAGTTGGGAGCAGCAGGCTGCCTGCCTTGCCAGAGCTGCTGCCAGGCTGCAGTGTGGCTGCTGTGCTGGTGGGTTATGCCTCCAACATAATGCCATGGGTACCCAGCAGTGTTGGCTTTTCTTAAGGTTTCTGGTTATTTTTATCCCTTCCTAATCAGGGGCAGTTGTTTTCCTGGTGTAGATGCAGGTGGCTGCTTAAGCGTGTGGTTCTATGCACATCACTTTGCCTGGGAGTTCACGCATTGCACTCAAGTGGGGCAGTGAGTCTGGGGACAAGCTCTCCTCTGCTGCCGTCTTCATTTTCCAGTAAATCTGCATTTGCTAAAGCACGTGGGGATCTACTGTCTGAAAATCATTCCTCATTTAGTGGGAGCAAAGATAGGATGTTCCCCTGTTATTTGCAGAACCCAGGCTACGAACTGGGGTTTGTTAACACATGCTGCCTGTCAAGGCATCCTGTCTACACCATGATGTGTACTCAGCACTGCTGTTACCTTGCTTTTGGTGCTTTTTAGCCTCTTCGAAATCCTTTAGCGATGTCTGTGTGTATACTTAGTCATGTGTTATTTTCAATGATGAGGGGGAAAAAAAAAGTGAAAGGAGAATTAAAGCTCACGTGTGTCTTGGTGAATTGAGACTGTTTCATATAAGATTTAATGCTGGTTTATTCATCAGCTTTTTCAAGGTTTTCTAGTTACAAAATGGTCATAGATCTTTTTTATAAAATATCAGTGTTTCTAATTGACTTGGGTTTACTGTATAACATATGTCTGAGAATTATTTTTCTCCGAATCAGTCTTCCCCACAATCCCATTGTCTACTGTGAAAGGTAGACTAGTTGCCAGTGTCTATTGCGAAAATTTTACAGGTTGAATGTCTTCCTTCAGGGCATCAAAGCAGCAACTGAAGCTTAAGATCTTGACTTGAAAGCCTTGGTGGGGGGAGGGTAATAACTGTTAGTAAAAGCAGTTTATTTTTTTTTTTAGCATTGCAGCCTTGCCACACTTGTATTCCTCTCATTCAGCCCACTTCAAAGGTTTTTGTGGTTCTTTGTTACTAAAATGCCTTCTTAATTTGTAGTAACATTCTTTTCATACTGAGATTTGTGCATCTTTGCCCATGTTGAGTGCCTGTTTAGTGCCAAGCACTGCAACTACTTGGCTGGACTACTCTAAGGTGCAGTTTGAGGGTGCTGTGGTTTCTTTCTAACCAGCCAGTCTGACTATACCTATGTGGAAATGGCAGTGGCCAAAGACTCTGAATTGCTTCCATTTTGTGTCTGCCTTTCTTGAACCTCTATCTGTTTTCAAGAATGGGGTTTGGGTGTTTTTTTTTTTTTTGTTTTTTTTGGGGGGGGGGTTTTTTGGGTTGTTTTTTTTTTCTTTAGCTAAGATTTATTTACTCATAGAAATCGATAAGAACCTTTCAAAAAGTATCCAAATACTTTCAGCCACAATTAGGATAGCACGTAGTTGAGTGTTAATGCCATGTTGTACTTCTGGAGGCAAAGATGGACCCTAGGGAAAACAGTGTTAGTATTACTGTGGAAACGTGACATTATTGCAGTGCTGTACAGTTTCAGTGGCAGCAGGAGTGAAAAGGTAGAGAAATAATAAAAAAACCCCAATCTTAACTTATGCTATGCAAAATGACTGGCAGATCAAAAAAATCAACTGATCAACTTCAAGTGAGTCAATGAATGTAGCTTGTCCTCCTCAGGTGCCCTAAAATCTTCTAAGCACCAAATAATTTTCTTGGAATTTGTAATGCTTCTTTTCATTTTGTCAAACTACACCAATTTCATAACTGGTTAGTGAATAAACTTAAAACTATTTTGTAAAAACTCTGCAGCACTGCTAATTATTGGGCCATCTCAGAGGTTTTGGCTCACATCATGGATATTGTTTGAATACGTCTGGTTGTGTGCTTGAGATTTGGGGGAACTGAATGTCTGAAAAAAGAACTGGCATTTTTCTGCTTCTCAGCTAATATGGTTTTGGGGTTTAACTTTTTCTAAAGCCTTATGTACCACAAGCCAGAATTACTGCCAACCTTTGTGAGAGTTACTCATATTTGGGTCTAAACCAGTCCTTGGGACCAGTAACAAACATTTGGGTAGGTCAGAACATCCTGGGGTTGGCAGACAGCCTCTAATCTAAAATAACAGAATTTAAGAATGCCCTTGTCCAATCAAAGTAAATCTCTATTACTCTAATCTCACTAGCATTTAAACAGGGAGCTGCAATGAGAACAATAGAAAATACAATGTTGGCTGTGTTAAACGATAATCCTGCAACATTCAAGCAATCAAAATGTACATGGATTGCTTCAGTCTTGTCTAGACTCTGTAGCATGCTTCACAAATCATTTTGGGTTGTTAAGCCAGATCCATGTTGTAAAGGTAAAATGGCATTTGGAAGCAAATGAGATTCTTTGATATTGATATTATTGAGATATGTTATCAATATTATATATTGAGATATAATAATATTGATATTATTGAGATAAAAAAAATTAACATTTCAAGGCTATGTAGTAACATGGGAACAGTGCACAAGAGATTTGACATTCAGCATTTTAAAAGGTGTGAATTTCTTCCAGTAATACAACCACAGGGTTCTTTACTCCTTTTATTTTTTCCATGGCAACATCTCACTGTGATTAATCTTAGTAACTCTGAGTTTCTGACTAGACAGAGCCTTTATACTGCTTGCTATAAATACCACTTTGATTGCAGCACTCTGATGTGAGGCCTGTGGCCATGGCCATTGAATGTGCTGGAAGAATACAGCATAAGTAAAAAAAGTAGAGTAAGAACAGTGCTGTCAGCATTGTGCAGGGGCTTTTTGTGTTGTTTATGTGTCCTCAGGACTCCTTTAAGTGAAGACAACCTCAAGCATAACTGGCCTGTCATGACTATGGCTAAAGCTGTATGCAGTGAATGTTGACGAAGCAGGCAAGGTCCAGCTGCAAATCAGCTGCCATTTCAGGATGGTGTGAAAGGACAAATTTTCCTTCTACAGGGATCCAGCTGCTGAGGCTGTCAGGTTTCTTCCTTCAGGGTTTTTTGTTTTGCAGGAGCTTTAATCTAGAAAGCCTTTCTAACAGAAGCTACAGCAGTCTCATTCAGCTACATCTTAGCCTTTCCGCTATATCTTCCGCCTCAGTAATTTCTGGTGTTCTATCTTCTGTTTTACTGGCAGTATCTACCCTGATGCTATCAGGTGCCAGCTTCCAGAAGAGTCCTCTTTGTATTGTCACACAGGCTTTCTACTGCATGTAAAAACTTAGTGTCACACCATGCTTAATTGTATGAAACAGGAAGGCCTTGCAGATTCAGAGGTGAGGACATGTGATGGGTATTTACACTACAGATAGATTCATTGCTGTAATTCTTTCAGTCTTGCCATTATTACTGGTTTGTCATAATACAATGCTGCTTCTGCCAACTATTATTCATCTCCCTAGGAAACTAAAGTAAATATGCCTCTTGCACAACTGTTCTTAAACACAGCTGGATAGCACCTTGTAACATCTGCAGTTATCTGTAACAGGAGCAGTGGAAAATGTCTAATAGCTGAATGTGCAGTGCTCCATGTAATGCCTTAAGAAATTAATAATCCTTTGGGTGTAATGTTTACCATTAGACATGCTGAGCCACTATATTTCTGATTGAGGAAACTGCTTAGGCATATACACGATTTTCAGCACCTGACTAATCCTCTGAACTCAGCTTTGTGGTGCTTAACTGTGCATGTATAAAGTAAATGGTCTGGACTACCATGTGAAGACTATCCTATGGCTTGTTTGTATTTCCTGAGGATTTTATTTTCAGTTTCTTCTAAGTAAAACAAAGGAGAGTCCTCTCTGGTTAGGCTGTGCTGTAACAGAAGTTTTTAAGCACCTATGTGCTCTGAAGTGGGGAATGTGATGTGCTATGTTCTATCTGGTTTTAGCTACTGTAGAATTGCCAGGCATCCCTGTGGAAAGTGGAAGCTCTCAGGTAGATGCTGGTTTTCAGGCTTGTATATCTTATTCTTGAAAGTGTTCAGTCTAAACAAGGGAAAGCCTAACAAGTAGGAAATATAAATAATGTCATTGGGAGGTAGAGGTATATTAAGACATACGACCAAGTTGTTAGCTACTTTGCTGTTCAGAGTATATCCTGCGTGTCTCTACCTGTCCAGCTGTTCTCTTGCATTGCCTTACAGATGTTTATTAACGTGTTTTGAATTTGGATCACATTTTTCAAAGTAGTCCAGCACTTAAAGAACAGTCCTGGGGAAAACCTGAGCCCAGCTGTGGATGTCAAGCACAGCGGTTGTTGTCTGTTGCTGAGCGTGGCTCTGCTACCTATGCCTGCTTATTTGTTTTTCTTTCCTCTTTTGTTTTTTTCAAGGTCTGCCTGTGTGGTGAACAGGATACGTGTGTATCTAAGCACCAAATTGGAACATGCTTACTCTAAAGGAAACCTTCCCAGCTGAGTTTATTTAAAATGTACCCATTAGGAGGGTGGGGGACAGCAGATGCAAAGGCATGGTGAAGTCCTTCAGGAGAAGGGGACATGCAAGATTCAGACATGTGTTAACAAGTCAGTGAGAGTAAATGGCACTGGCATGTCACTGATTTATTTCTTTGTCAAAAGTTCTGATTAATTTTGCATATGGTTTAAAATTGTACTGATGCACCTTCACACATATCTGTGTGTACAAATGTGAAGCTATTGTCTTTGACAAACAGCCTGAACTTGCATTTGACCCATAGACTGCAATAATTCATTGGCAGGCACACCATAAGTTATATTACAGATATCCTTCAGGGTATCATTGTAAAATTCAAGGTTATTCATTTACTCTCAGTTTCCTGGAGTTCCCTGTCCCATGCACTGCAGCAAAGGAGGCTGTTTGTTCTCCTGCAGAAAGAAAGGTCTTTCTCTTTGCAGTTGCTTTTGGAAAAGGGTGAAGGGGGAATTTCTGCTTCCTTCCTGTGTGTGGATTTTCTTGATCTTTTTAACAGAGTAGACTTTCTTCTGTCGCCACAGGTAGCTGATGGTTGTTCTGAGTCCTGCCAGGCCTCAAGAGGCCTGTTAAAATTTGGATGAAGTAGTGGCAATCACAGATCAGAATATCTTTATTTCAAATGTTATCATCAAAGAGCTTGTTTAGAAGTCAGCAGACTGTTCCGTATTGAACTGTTGCTCTAATACTAAACTCAGTATTTTGAATCTTAAATGAATATTAAATTCACTACTAAGCTGTTACTTGAATGACCTTACAAACAATATTTAACATGTTAGTTTAAGAGTGACAGTGATAGTGTATTTCTGTTAGTTTATCTATATAAAAAGTCTAAAAATAATAAAGTAAAAATCATGCTGGCAGTGGTGGTGTTAACTTCAGAAGCTGTTAGTAACAAAGGTGCTGTTTGCCTGCTTGGTCCCTTCCATCCTGATGTTGACTCTAAGCTCTCATGGCTAGCCATTATGGTGTGGTTTAAAGAATAAAAGGGCACTCCCTGTTTCTCAAACTTTGTTCCTAGTGCCCGGTTCAGTCCAAGCACTTTGCATGTGCCAAGAAAATGGCCTTTGCTAAGTGTTACAGTGAATGCAGTGCTGTACAGTTCATACAATCAGCTGTGCTGACTGGGAGCTTGCAGGAAGAACTGAACAGACTGTGGACAGGCTGATGTGTTCTGTATTTCCGAAGTGCCCATGCAGGAGTGGGTGGAGGGTCTGAACATACTTACATGTTACTGAGTCAAGTTTCATGCTGGTGGGTGGTTTTCACACATTTTTACCTAGGTTGCTCCAGCATACCTAACTGTGGGCAGAGTTAACCCCTGCAGTACTAGTCTTGGGAATGTTATTTACTCTTTCCATGAGTGATCTTGGTTTATATCTTTGAAACTATTGATGAGATGACCTTGAATGTGCTCATCTTTTCTCTTGGCAGTGTCTTGTAATGGGAAGATGTGACTAGTGTAGAATAACAGGAAATAAAATCCAGTAGTATGCCTTTCCAGTCTTTGTACTTGGGAGTTGATGATAAAAGCTACTATGGTTTACCTACTTTCAGGAAAGGACTTTAGCTAACTAGATGAATCTTCTTAAGATGATGTGGCTATGAAAATTATCAGCAGAGTGCCGTTTCCCAAGGTCTTGGTGAAATGTTGTCCGAACGTTTCAGTTTGAAACTGTTTGGCTATGTTCAAGGAGTACTGCTGGCATGAGCAGGAAGTGATGGTCTGACTTGATAAGAGACTCAAAGGATTAATTTGTTTGATCTAGACTACCTAGGCGTTGGGACAGACTGAGTGCTCTCCCTAACACGTTATGAAATCAGCTCTGGGAAAGAAAAAGCCATTAGAGCTGGAAGATAATGTTGGCAGAAGAACAAATGGGTTTAAGCTGAGAGGGAATGTTCCTAACAGTTTAGAGGAATCGGGCTCCACAGCAACTTTCCAACCAGATGGTTGGGGGTGCAAATCTCAGTTAGTTTCAGGATAGAAGTTGGTGAATTGATAAAAAGATTATCTGGTATTCATTCTATGATTGTTAGAAACTGAATTAGTGATCCAAAAGTCCCCTGAACCAGTGAGAAATCAGTATTGTGTAAGTAGAACTGCTACATCTTCTAGAGGACAGCGGAAAATTAAATACTTATTTAGGCAGTGTGATCATCCTCCAGCAGCAAAAAGCTGACAGATATATGTCAGATCACTACCTTTGTGCAGCACTATGTGACAGATCCCAGGTCTCTGATCCTGTCTCTGTATCTGTAGGCTATGTCTTACTCTTCTTTTTTTTTCTCCCCCCCCACCTTATTAGCATTAAGCAGAATACTGTAGATTTGTATGTTCTTTAAATTCAGTGACAGCTAGAGAAATATGTTCATATATTCCAAGAGGACACTGAGGAGGTTACGTGTCATCAAAGAATAAAAATTAAATCTCCAGTCTTAATACATAAGAGAAGGTTGGGCAGTGATGCAGCTTTTCCTTCTTTTTTTTTTTTTTCCTGACTAGGAGGTGTAAGTTTGTTGTATCCAGAAAACAATTATCAAAATGTTAAAACTATTTTTCTTGTCTTTTTTTCCTAGTTGGGGAATGGCGGTCAACGTGTACTCTACCTCTATAACCCAAGAGACTATGAGCAGACATGACATCATTGCATGGGTTAATGATATATTAGCTTTAAACTACACAAAAGTCGAGCAACTCTGCTCAGGTAAGAAAGTATGGTATGCTCTATGAATGTTTATTTTAAAACCACTTTAAAAGTCTGATTTGTTGAAAATAGATAACTTTAAGCTTTGACATAAACCAGTTACTCTGAGAAAATAGACTAATGTATATGCAAAGGAAGTGTTCTTGCATTCATGTTAATCATGGAAGGATAAAGTGCCTTCAGAAAGCATAACAAATGCAGATGTGAATGGGACAGATGTAGCAGAAGATACACAGAAGTAATAAAAAGGTTGACTAAGCAAGAAAAGAATACAGAGATAAGCTATTGTGGTTTATAGCTAGTGGGGTGTGGACATAGCTGAAAGAGAGACAAATAGAGAACAGACACCCTAGGTGAATAAAATTCTCCACTACCTTTTCCTTCTTGGTGAGGGTCCTCAAATCCCTGTTGATGTTTGCAGAAAAAGAGCACAAGTGCAACCGTGAAGAAAAACACAGATTTGAAGAAATGAGCCTTTAGCTACTGCAAGGTCTATAGAAGTTTTTCAAGAAAATCTTCCTTTTTCTCTTTAAGCATAACTGAACTCTCGTTGTAACTAACTTTGGTAATGAGCCCTGAGAAAGAGTAATGGTTTGAATACTTTGGACATTTTGGTTAATCAGAGTGGCAACTACAAGATATGTGTTAAACAACCGGGTCTGTAATTAGATGATGACTAGAAATGATACAGACAAAAGCTGATGTTTCACTGAGAATACAGATGCCCCCAGGGAGTGATTCTTTCTGATTTCCTGCTGTGATTTTTAAATTTGAAGATGTTTGTGTTGGAGGAGATCTAACTTAGATTGCTACTTCCAGACAACTGACATGCTGGGAACATCTTACTTACGAAGACAATGCTCTGAGTACACAGAACTGAAGCCACGTTACCACATTTTCAGCTATTTGCTGGTCCAGTTGAAATGCATTAGTGGGGTCTTGTATTCATATATTTGAATTTACCTACCATTATGAGTAATTTTTCTGAGATGTTCCCCTGAAAGGTACAGAAAATCTTTAGAGTATGATAGCCTCATAGCTTCAAAACTTAAACATACCCCTCAAAACTTAAAAAACAATCATTAGCTGCAGATGCAGGCTTGCATGCTTGCAGGCTTGCACAATGGCTATAAAATTGAGGTTGAGGAAGGGGAGGTTAAAGTGCATGTCATAACTGATACAAACTAAATAACTAAAGACATAGAACATGAGAAATAACCTTTTTAACAGTACTGAACTTGAAATTGAAATGTTATATTTAGCTGTTGTTATATTTACATGCCTGGAAGTTAGCCTGAGTATTGAGTTATACATAAAGAAAGCATTCATATGGGGATGTGTGTGCACGTGTGTAAATATAGGTGTAGCCATATATAGGTAGGTACATATGGGTACACACATGCTTATCAGGCTATAGAAAGATGCAAGAAAATGGACATTTTTATCCCAAAATACCCAACGTTTGCCATTGTTTGAAACAGGAAGTATACTAGACCAGTTATTGACTTGTTCCTGTAGAACTATTTATATGCTCATAAATAGTTGAAAGGAAGCTTTTGAAGTGAATTCTTCATCAAGTTAAATGTGTGTGGGCTTGCAAATAAAAAAAAAAAAAAAAAGAAAAAGACCAAAAAACGTCCACATCTTTCCCAAAACAGGGGAGAGGTGATCTGAGAAAATTTAGTTTATAGAGAGTACAATGAGTTAAAAATATTTAAGAAAATAGACTAAGACACTTCGGCTGGGTGGGGCAGGCAGAAGAAAAGCATGGAAATTGTCACAAAGGCACTGTCCCATTTCATTACATAGCTTCTTATACAACTTTTTCTGTGACATCTAGTGAGGATTTTGGGACACATCACAAGGGAAAAACTGAAAAAGGGTTGTCTCATTTCAGCTCTTCCTCCATCCTGTATAAAATTAAATCTTTCCTTCCTTTAGAGATTCCTGGACTGTATTGACTGCTATTGTTACCAAATACTTTTACATTCATATCTTAACAGGTCAAAGCTGTAAACTTGAATTTCCCCATTTGGTTTGATAGTTGAGCTTGATTCTTACATGTTTTTAGTTTTCTGTTATTGTTCATTACAACCTCAGACGGGACTTTAATAGTTCCTTACCTGAAGAAGCGCTTTAGTGCAGTCCTTACTGTGATCCAAAAGACTTTATTTTATGAGCAGATGAATCTAAGCTCTGCTAGGTTATTGCAGACACTAGAGCACAGTAGTCCTGTGGACTACTTTCCTACTTTTCATAGGTCCTTTCCATTTGAGTCTGCACAGTCTGTTTCTCATGTACAAGGCATGCATGCACATGTAGGGATTGAAGATAGATGGACAAGAAGCTTTGTGAATCTTTCTGTATTTAATATACATATATATAGTTTACCATGTAAACTCAGAATACTTTATTTAATGTACATACAGTATAGTTTACAGGATAGAAACTGGGGGAATGGTAGTACAAATGACCAGCCAACTGACAGGCAGAGCACCAGCAAGCATGGTATGAACTGTAGTTTGAGAATGACCAATGTAATTCATTCTGGCGTTCCTTTGGCTCATGTTCCTTGAAGCACTGGCATGAAGCATTAAGCTTTCATGCAGCTTAATGTTAGTTTCCATAAAATATGAGCATTTCCCCAGGAGTTCAAAGAGAAGGAATGTGGGCAACACTGTACAACTATGAAGCATTTCACAGCATTAGCAGGGAGCTGCAGAGCCACTGTAACTGAATTTTTATAACCTACTGTAAAATCGTATAGACGTTTTCTTCTTTTTTAGAAGAAGGCATGAAGATTTGTCATGCTGTTACATGACTATTCAGTTCTTGTTCATTTATATTAATAAGGAGCAATCACAAGGCCAGAAAAAGCTTAGTGCAAGGCCAAAAAAAGCAGGGGAGGGAGAGAGGGGAGGCTAAGTCTGAATGAAAAGCTGGAAGACATTATTTTTAGGAAGCATGAGCTACCTAGATGTGACATACACCTTGTGTTCAGCACCTGGGTGTGAGACCTCATGGGTGCCCATGTTTTGCAGCCAACCTAGCAATAATTCTGGACAATCTGAGCTTAAGCAAGAAGGAACAGTGTGACATTCTGCCTTTTAATAAAGGCTTTATTCAGCACATATCTAAAGCTCACCATGACAATTCATAATAATGACAGAAAAAGCAATCAAACCTTTCTCTTATTGCTGTGGAGAAGTAGCTTTGATAGTGCACATGCTGTAGCAATACCAGCCTATTCCCCAATTGCCAGTTACAGTAACAAAGCTGCTAGGAAGAGGAGCAGCAAAGGAAGAGGTTGGCTTAGTCATAAAGCGTTTGTATTCTTTGGGAGTCTTAGATGTGTTTTTGTCTCTGCTAAGTAGGCCGAGCAAAGTGCAGTGTCCCCTGAGCTTTCTGAATGCCTGCTGTAGTGGGGATGTGCCAAAAATGCCAGGTTATGGATGGGTGCAGCCCTGGAGAGTCTAAATTTAGTCTGCAGCTCCTCTGGTAATTTAGTTTTGACAACTTGAGAGAAGATCTCTCTGAGCACCTCAAAGCAACCAGTTCCTTTCATTTTAGGTGAGTGTCATTTTGCTGTGTTTTGGTCTCTGGGCTTGACTACTTGCAAGGTTGTTAACCTGAATATGAAATTTATAATCCATGGGTTTAATTGAAGGCATAGTGCATTGCCTTTAGATGGGCATTAGACTTGAGACTATTTAGTTTGATACATGAATGAAAAATAATAGAGAACAACTGAGTGGATTTAATGTAGTAGGATCCCATGTGCAACACCCATATGGTTGGGAAATAGAAGTTTCAAATGAATTATGACGCTGGCTGTTTTTTAGGAGTCATGCCATTTTTGCAACAAATACACAGTGGCTTAAAAAGATTCTGACTAAACAGCTTATAAGTTCATTTTCTTTACTAAGGCTGTTTTTCATCTATAGGGAATAGCAAGTGAACCTGTTACAGGGCTTTTCATGAGTGTCTAGCTGCTACATGAGAGTACATTCAAAATAAGGGTCAGGCAGGAGTCTATAGAGGGCTTGCATATGAATTAAAAAGAAATAACACAAAGTGTACAAGCTGTATAAATTATGAACAAGGAACCTAGAAATGGTAAATGTATATAGAAAGGAAAACGCAGCCTGAAGTGAGGTATAATTCCTTGTGTAGCTATACTTTGAGGTTAAGGTGGTACAGAATCTTTCCCTCCCCTCCTCCTGCATTTGAGAATTCTCAATAGAATTATAAACTTGCAAACTGTCTGACCTCAATGCATACAGACCTCCTGTCTTTTAGGATTTGTATGCAAGGATTAAGTGTGGGGTAGTTTGGGTTGGTTTTTTTTCCCCTCTTTCCTCTTGCTTTTAAGAAAAGACCATATTATAAAGAGAGCATGTGGTGTGGCATTTTCAAACATTAGACTGTGTGATGCTTTCTGTGTAGATGCCCTGGGTGTTGCTACAGGGAATTTTTCATGTGACTGCTGTAGCCAGTACCGTATCTCAGCTGGCGTTCCTCCTGTGAAAACACATAGTCCCTTTATAGATAGATTTCGTTGTTACTCTACCACCTGGATCTCGGAGGAAGGCAGGCAGTGTGATAACAGGGCAGATCATGTTCTTTGTTTGACTTCGTGTTGCCTCTCCTGCTCGGGATTTGGGGGAGAGCTCCATTACAGCCTCCTGTGACCAGTGCTGCACAGGGAGGAGGGTCCTTCCTGGCTTGTGGAGGTTGTCCAAGGTGTTATGCTTCCGGGGAGGATGTGCTGGGGCTGGGTGCTGTGGGGCTGGTCAGTGGCCCCTAGACCTGGCAGCATTTGTTTGCAAAGTGGCTGTCATGCCACCTGCACCACACAGCCTCCAGACCTTCAGTAGCAGCAGCGAGTGGTGTGCCAGGCACACTGCATCCCGAGCAGCTCTTCTCTCCCACACCCAGCAAAGATCTGTCTGAGCAGGGCTGAGATGATTGGGGTTACCTCAAGAAGGGTGCTGGCTAGG